TATTCCACTCGCGCTTGTTGGATATGAGATGATTATAGCCAACTCGGCGCTACGTGCCTCGTAGGCTATCTATCATCTCATATCCAACGCGCACTCGTGGAATAATTGTTAAATAGCGTTTGATAAAGATTCCTTACTTGCCCTAACTTTTACCTCATCGAAGTAAAGAGGTGCAAAAAGGTGCTATTTCCTAGAATAAATGACAGATTCAGTTGGCGCAGAAATCGTGACAACTCAAACAAAATTTTTCAGCCAAATCTTTACGTTCAGCACCGCACAGCGCGTCATATAAAACGCGATAAGTTGCATGGGAACCCTCGGCTCTTTTCCACTTCAGCAACATCCCGTAGGCCTTTTCACGACATTGTTTTTCCTCCACGTCGATAGCCTTGAGCGTGGCCTCGTGATTCTTGAACAGCGGACGTCCAAGCTTCTTCCATTCCCCTGGAATTTCTTTGGCCAGCTCGTCCAAAACTCCCTCATCAGGTACGCCATCCTTCACTGCAGCTAATGGAAACGAACACCAATATGACCTTTGATCAGGCATTCTTTGTAGTTATAGCCAAATTAAAACCACGAGGGTAAGTGTGTTTGAATTTGAACAGCCACCCGTTCGAAGTAGTTTAGCAATCAACCCTGCAGTTCTCGACTTTGGTCTGAAAAAGATGTAGCCCCCCCCCCCCCTTCTACCCCAGTTGTAGTTGGTATTATTACCCCTACATGGGTCCCGCCTAAGAATATTTCAATGCTTAATTGAATTTTAGCGCCCTTAAATAAGATGTGTAAGAAACGATATTAGTTTGTGTCATGGAACATTTCATGAGATCGTGGGGAGGGGAAGGCTCTTAAGGAAGAAACGGACGGATAATTGAAACATTGGTGTAATAAACGTTTGGAAACTTTCAGGGACACATTCCCACCTCATTCCATGAGCACGAATGTTTCCACTGAACTCCGACAATCAAGTTTAAGGTCAATCAAGTTGTTAGGTAGAATACTTCTAGTACTCGTCACGCGATTATTTATGAGAAGTAACTATGTTACTTTGGTTTTTTAGGTGATAATCCCTGACTTTCATTGGTAGTGTCTCGACCAAAGGGAATGGTAAAAATTGCTGTTATATAGGCTGAACACAAAATAAAATTACAATGAATAAATGAAGTTTATATATTTTGAACTGCGGTTATAGATACGTATGATGCATGATCCTCGCAGTAGAGAGCGCTGATTTTTTTCAGGTCTGATTTTCGCTATTGCATAAATAGCGCTCTCTACTGCGAGGATCATGCATCATACGTACGAAATACAATGTATGGTTGTTGATGAATGAACATTTTGTCGCCCTACGCACGACAAAACTTTACTATTTAATGTAGCTAGAAAATGTTTGACTGTTATACCACTAGCATTTGTCGCGCGTTTAGTTGTTGACAGGTAACCTTTGATACTTTGGATTTTTATGTTAAAAGTCCCAAACACACTACCTTCAGCAGTTTCAGACGTCATAATGTCATCCTTGGACCTTTTGCACTTTGAACCTAAAGGATGTGTTCCCTTCCGCTTTGCAGATGACTCCTGGCTTTCACTGGTTGTACCTAAATTGAAGAAAAGGGTTAAAAAATAGGTGTTATTCAGGCTGAACGTAGCCACTAGAATGTGCGATGAATGAAGATTTTGTCGCTCGACACACGATTTTGAGTCACTATATAATGCACATAGCGAAGTTTTGACTTTCTTGCTGCTAGTATTCGTGAAGCGATAATTATTTGTTTTGTTTTTTGTTTTTTTTTTGTTTGTGTGTGTGTGTGTTTTTGTTTGGTTTTTTTTTTATTGTGGTTGCTATTGTCTTTTTTCTTTTTCAAGGTAACAGTCATACCAATTACCTAGAAAACTACAACACAAATAAAATAAACTAGATGAGAAAACATGGGAGTTAGCGATGGTTTTCCACAAGGTGACTCTTCTTGTCCACTGATTCCAGGTCGAATTGGAATTTGAAATGTTTTTTATGTAGATGGAGAAAAACCAGAGGAGCCGGAGAAAAAACCCTTGTAACAAGGACGAGGACCACCGCCGTGGCCTGGGTTCGATTCCCACAAGGGAATCGAACCCAGGCCACGGCGGTGGGAGGCGAGCGCTCGTACCTACATCACTGCTCAATTAAAGAAATGGTAAAAATAAAATTGTTTTGAGTGAAGGTAAAGACTTCCATTAGTTATTTCTTTGTAGGTCCACGTTTTGCTCATGAGTAAACTTCGAAGCACAATCTTAGTGCAAGACATCAAAACTGAACAAAGTAATAAGGGCAATGGTAACTCAGAAAACAAGCGACCACCTTACCTTATCTTGACGGTACCCAAATCAAATCGAATTGGGACATTGCAGTTAAAAACTATTTTTAGTTATAACGGAATAAGAAAGGAAAAATATTGATCACCGTCAGGGTCAGGACACTCACTGGGTTCTTCTTTCAGGTTAAACGCATCAAGTGCCTGTATGAATGAAAACATATTTATAAATATATTTGTCAATCAATCAATCGATCGATTGGAATTATTTTTAATCATCAACAGGCATAGACTCAGTATAATGAATACACATCAAATAATTTTTCTGGTTCTTTATACAAAAGATATACTGTCTGTCTTTTCCCAACATCACCACTAACCTCAGTCCATGGAATACATTTCTCTTTTAAGTGAGGAGGTAACCGACAAGGTTTTCTCTCGCAAGCAAGAGGTTTCTTCTCCAAATCAATGTAGTGTGCACAATCGTCATGGCTGCATTCTTGTTTGCCGTGCCGTATACATGGTACTTTCCCAGAAGTTGGGCACAATTCACATTTAGCGTAGAGCTTGAAAGGTATCGCGTGCAACCAAAGGCACTCTTTCTGCAGTTTCTTCAAACATTTTTTCAGACACCTAACACAAAGTAGAAGGAGAATTCCGTCAAATGGTTAGGCTAAGAGACTCGTCAAGGGAAAACTTGTCAAGATAACATTACTAACATAGGTGACTTAATAAGAAACTTGACTAAGAAACTGTAAAGAGCTTATGAATATAGCTACCAATTTTTGCTTGACGGGCACACAGTTGAAGTCCCTGAGAAAAAACCTTAAAACTCAGCCTGAATGTTGACGCAAATAATTTACCAAAAGGATCATCCCTTCCCTTTAATCTTTTCCACTTATTCTTCAAATTGTTTCTGCAAATTGTTGTTATCCAAATCAAGTGAGGTTTAAATCAATCCAGTGCAATCCATTTTGTCCGCAAAATCTCTACAGGGCACAAAAAATTAGCACCTACCTCAATATCTTCCTACAAAATTTTTTCTCCTGCACATGATCAGAAGCATCTTCGGCAGAAAAGGAAACTTTAATGACGCTTGAGTGGCGGACAAGATGAACAGTAAAGTTTTCGCCCATAAAAAACGAGGCGACGTTGGAACTAAGGTTCGGTTGCCTCGCACTGCACTTTCGTGATGCCCATACTCCAAATAAGACGACTAATCTTGGGAAAAAACCACAAGGAACATAACCCGTCTCGTAAAACCTGAGGCACAGGGGTGTGGGACCACTTCCTGTGTTCAAATCAACTTCTGATATCTGGGTCAGCATGCATGGAACAAGATAAATCAAGTCTCCATGTTTATTTTTCCATTCAAAAATTAAATGGAACCGCTTCATAACTGAAATTAAGTCGTTCTGAATGCCAGTTATGTTCAGTTTCTCACTGGCAAAAGTTAGCAACTCATTGGAAAGAATTCCTGTGTCTCGCAAGCAGTCGTAGTGGCGCCTATACTTGAGCGGGTACACCCAGGTGGGGTTGGTTGTGATTATCTTGCAAATCGTTTCAATGAGCCATTTCGGATCCAGTATTACTAGTCCATTACAACTATCAGGAAGAGTATGATATATTATTGTACCGCGAGCATGCAAGAAGTGAAGAAGGCCTTCCACGTCGTCATCTTCACTTTGCGTACAACATTTCTTTACAATGTCAGTTTTAAACGTTTCTTTTGAGACATACAGAACGTTGTGCCTCACCTTTTCTTCAATTTCAAGCTCTGCAGACAGCCACTGCAGAGGGATTGGCTCCTTTGTATGAGGCATGTCTTCAGCTGTCTTTAATATAAAATCTCTTAATTTCGCAATTGGTGTGTTCTCTTCATCAGACAATGTATCAGCTTTTGTATTGTCCACAACAAAGTTGTCCTCTGGCACTGCAATATGTTCTAGGAGAAAATCAGGGACGGTCCTAGAGATGTTTTCCACAAACGATTTCATCTTTTCGCCAGGATCACCTTCTACCATATCAGCCTTTGTTCCCACAAGTATAACAGACCCAACGGTGCTATTCCCACCTGATTGCTTTAAGTAATGCACCAAGGTCAACCATCGTGTAAAAATATCCAAGTTTGTGTTTCCGCTCTCAGGTGACTGCGCTCTTTCTTCTTCATGGCCACCCACTTTGACAAATGACTGTGCAAGGTCGGATAGCTCTTTCGTGAGGTCAACAACCAGAAGATAAATAGCCTCTCGTGACATGAACAGAGGATGAATGGCGTGATAAATATTTTGCCCGGCAAAATCCCAAATTACAGGCCAGACTCTTTCACTCTCGAAGCCCTCGTCTTCCATGAGCGCAGCAATCTCTTTAGAACGACTTTTTATCAAATCCTCTCCGAGTGTGGATTCCACCTTGGCTTGTTCAGGTGCTTCCTCACCCTGGGTCATGTGTACTGGAATATCATGGAATATCATCAGCGTAAATATATGAAAACTTACTGATGAACAAACTGTACCTTTCGCCTCCAGTGTTGAATTTGTCTGTGCAATCGCGTTATACGTACGTTGAGTTAAAAATGTTCGTACGTTACTGGGCTTTGATTGACAGTCACGTGCGTGGCTATGGGGCACGTGTGTTGGGTAGCAAAACATAGTGAAGACAAATGTAATTTGCGAACCAGCAACTGTTATGGTCGCCGGAGTGACACAAACAGATAGTTAGCCTGCACACGCAGTTTTTCAAACACACTGGGATTAATCTGTATTAAAACTGAAAAGTAAGTGTCGTACTCGTTCCTCAACGTACTTTATACAACACATTGTGTTGTCTATTGACCTTGTTGTTCTTATTCAAGTGTCACCAATTATGACAACAAGCGAAAAGTGACTGACCACAAAGTTACCTTTTTGCTCTGCTGAGTCGTTCAGTTCTTCCTCAACGGCTCCAGAAGGCGACTGACATTCCTGTTGCGCTGTTGATGTGGTTAGTTCTTCTTTGACGATCACTTCGGCACATTTGTGATCAAATGCAGTAGTGTTCTGCTGTGAAGCTAAATTCCTCCACGGCTCCGTACCAGCGTTCTTGATAGGAAGACTCATCTGCACCCCATCAGTACTGGGTTCCTCGGCATCAAATGGCTCGCCTCTCAAAGATTTCCCAAGGCTTGTCTTACCAACCCGGTCTGGACCAATGATTGCCACTTTAACGCGCTTATCACAGATCACACCCAACTTTAGTGCTCGGAAGAAAGCTGCATTTGGAATCGAGGGTTCAGGGCTACTAAAGCCCACGGATGCTGCAAGTAACAAAACGCATTGGGTAGTTGAAAAAGAAACAGAATAACAAACTTAAGACAGTTAAACTGAAAATATCCAGAAACGGCCGACGAAAATAACGTACTTTTCAGGTATTTGGCCAACAAACATTTTGCGCATCGTATTTTCGAAAATTGGCTTTGAAAGCCTTGGTTTCTGTAGGTTTTATTAAAATTATACAAACCCTGCCGCGGCAGCCCTGAGGGACGAAATTTGGTGTATCCATGTTTAACCTGAACGTAGAAAACGCTCTCTAAAAAGGTTGTTGAACCTCTCTTGAAAGTTATTTGAGTCGGAACTACATTCTTTTATTTTTATACACATGCAACCTTTGATAATGAATCTATTTTGAGAACTGTAAAGCTGACCTAGAACTTGCACAACGCCCTCGGGTGTATTAAAATCAACTAAACAAACCAAAAAAAATTTACCAAGAAATATCACTGGTGGTTCGTTTCTATGAGATTATCTACTTCGGGCAACTATTGCGAATTGCTCATGTTGTGCATGCTTACCCACGTAATTGTGTTCTATGTTATAATAGTACGCTAACCTACTATGCTTTGTTATCATTAATTACGTTCGCCTGAAAATACGTACGTACGTATGTATGTATGTCTGTATGTACGTACGTAGGTACGTACATGTGTATGTACGTATGTACGTACGTACGTACGTACGTATGTATGTATGTACGTATGTATGTACGTACGTACGTACGTACGTATGTATGTATGTATGTATGTATGTACCATACATATCATACACCTTTTATTCCTTTCGGTACTTTATTGTAAATGTTTGCCGATGTGGAAAGGGATATCTCACAAGGCGTGTCCATTGGCATACCTTCACGCATTCCTGGGTCCATTGGATTTTGCATACCTTGCAGCATTTCTTGTTGTTTATTCTGCTGCTCCTGTTTTAATATTTCCGCCATGAGCTTTGGATGTTGTTTAAGGATGCTCAACGATTTAGCCGGCAGGGAAGTAATTGCACCCTCCAACGCAAGCCCCACCTTCCGCAGTACAGCAGCCACAACCAGGTGGCGTCGAAATTCAACTGAAGCCATCCTTTGCTCTCCTCCTGACATTTTAGGATACTGTTGTTGGCCTCCTGGCATCATGGCGTTGGGGTGGTTCATCTGCTCTTGTTGTTGTAGCTGTTGTTTATGATCTTTGGCGTACCATTCTACAGTGTTTGGTTGGTCAGGCTTTCCAGATGGTTGCATTGACTGACTCACTGATTGTAGCATAGGTTGAGGCCTGTTCATGCCCTGCTGAATGCTCTGTCCCGTACCTGACCACATGTGGGCTGGATACTGCGGTATGGTCGCAGCTGGTGGTGCCACTGGTCCAGAAGGTGGTGCCTCAATTGGAGCCTGCTGCTGTTGGATGACTTGTTGAAGATTTGGAACATTTTGATTCTGCATACCAGCCATTAGCCAACAGTTCGAAACTGAGAAAACCTGTTCTGGGCTTGTTGCTGTCTGAGCTTGCGTTGGACGGAACTTACAAAATCACCCACTGAAAGAAAACCCAGAAACTTCTTTATTGAAGTAAAATTAACTTTTTCATCCCCGTTGCTAAAAAAAAAATTCCTAGTTTAATTTCTCCCGGGAGATGAAGGTAGCTAACCAGTTAATCGGGTTATTATGTTCGTTTGTGCGAGACTCCTGGTGATCCGCGAGAGTTAGCACATATGGTGTTAAGTGTTGACATGCATGGAACAGCCACTTACAATAAATGAGTGCAACTGGTGTCAAATACTTTATAATGGACGCTAACGAGTTGAATCTATCGCAAACTTTTTTTTTTTTGGTGGCATCTACCATAACGCGGAATTTATTTAAGAAGTAAATGAGCCATTTCTGAGTTCTCACGGTTCGGAGAACTGGCACCAAATATTAATTAGTGAGAATCAGGGCAGGTGAGAAGACGCCCTCATCGGCACGATGTCTTAAAAGTAGTAGTAGTGAAAGTAAGCGATTTCTTGAAATGTAGGAGTGAAAAATTAACTGTGGGAGAGAGGTATTCAGTTAAGTGGTGGTGGCAAAGGAAAGAAAAACGCAGAACTGATCGATTTATGCATGAAAGGTACAGAAGTGAAGCTGACGAAACTAGGCGATTCTGGCTAAGACCACAAAAAACTGTTCGAAGAGAAATTACAGACTACAAGCATTCAAAGTTTTAGGGTGTGGTCTCTAACATTCCAGAGTTCTCGTTCGGCGTCTGCATGCAGCCTTACCTCAGTTGTTTTGATGTTATCGTTTAAGCGTTGATTTTAGTTTGCTGACTCGCGACGAGGGCTTACTAAGATTTGCGGAAAGAAACAAAACGAAACGAAAAGAAATGGAAACCTGTAATTTGCGAAATGAGAAATCTGAAATTGCGAAATGGAAATCTGTAATCTGTAATACAAAAAGTGCAGAAAATTTCATGGCCACCGGCCGGAAGGATGCACCGGTCAGTTCATTGCAAGTGTTTAACCGCTGCCCAGTTAGCCTAATGGATAGTGCGCTGGACTGTTGTGCGGGAGGTCGAGGGTTCGAGCCCCGGCCGGACCAACACTCAAGGTCTTAAAATAATTGAGAAGAATTTGCTACCTTTCTATAAAATCAAGAAATGGTTAGATATTCTAGTCTTCTCGGATAGGGACGAATAAATGGAGGTCCCGTCTCCTGCAGGGTTAGGGATAGGAGACGTTAATTTCCCACACACGAGATTACTGTGTGATGGATGTCCTCCCCTGGGGTGGGATGGGTGGGCAGATAGAGGAACACCCTAATTAACTTAGTGTTACTCGTGATATCCTCTGTAAATATTGTTTATTATTATTAAGTGCGGATTGCATACGGAACTTAGCAAAAGTGCGAACGAAAAATCCCCATGTATGTCTTGACGAATAACTACTGAGATGAATATTTCGAGTGGCTCACTCCCAGAACTCCCACATCGATTTTTGTTTTCGCCAATTCTTTTTTCAACTCCCGCGTCGGACTTTGCCAAAAACGTGGGACTGCTATAGTAGTCTACTATCACGGCTCTTCATTCTTTATACTGATAAGTGCGACTTCGCACCAAGCCTCTTCCTAGGGCATTGATTTTGGAAGCAGATCTCCAACCGTGAGAACTCGGAAATTGGCTAGTGTTCACACTGTGTATTGTACGCTTGGCCTACTTTGCTATAGTTATGACCATTAGCAAAATTCGGATGTCAGGCAGCTTAAAAATTGATATCCACGCCAGACTTTACTTCTATGTATCCTTTTATCGGTATCTTGCGTATCTTCAATGAGGTTTGGTTTTGCATTCGGTACCACGCATGATTAGTAGTCATAATAACTGAGATACAGTTATTTCAGCAGTTGCTCTCGTCTATGAAACATGTCCGTGAAAACAGTTTAATCTAGCCTACCTACTGAGTGATACATATATTTGTGACTATGGTCTCTCTACAAGAACATAAAGAGTGAATTGCAATTTGGTGGTGACACTTCTGTGGGGTGGCACTTTGTCCATTGCTTGATAGTCGAACAAGGAGTATAAATTTGAGGGGGAAAATCTGGAGAGCCAACAATATATCCTTGAGTTACAGGTGAAACAAGTTTTGAAAACTGAACTGGGGCCACAGTGCCACAGTTGTGGGAGGTAAGCAAACTCACCACTGTATCATCCCTGATTCATAAATAAATATTTAAAATTACAACTTCGTGAAAATAGCTATTTGAATGGAAAGATTTAAATGAGGCAGGGTTTATTCTAGAAATTGGCCAATGAGGAGCAAATGGGTCCCCTTCAGTAATTTAAGGAAGGGCCTTTTTCAAGCAAGGGGGTCCTTCATGGTATTTTAACTAATTGGTACAGACTGTTCCATGAGAGAACGAACATTTATTGAAATTATCATGTACTCAACATGAGGTTAAATATTTTGGGTTTTTTTAGGCCAAACGTTTTAAGGAAATAAGTCTCTTTGACTCATGATTCAGATCATGGGTTTTCTACTCTCCTGTTCTTTTTCTTAAGCCTTACCTCATAGCAATCAAATTTGGCCCTTTAATTGAAATTGTCATCAAGTTGGCCAAGGATTCCTCCCCTAGCCTGTTCCCTAGGGCAGTTTTAATTATTTTTTTCAGAACACATTATTTCCCAAAAATACTAAACTTCCAAAGCCACACTCTGGTATAACTCCTGGAAATAAACACTATTTCTGAGACTCAGAAATAAATGAAAAAAAATCTAGTCTATTTCTCACAGCAAGTAGGAATTGTTGTTGCTGTTTTTTTTTTTTCTTTTTGTAGAGGCTTGATTTGACAGCACGTGTTTATCTTTACCATGTGATAAATCTGCCCTAAGAAATTGCACCTAAGAATCTGCCTGGCATCAGGCAAGGTGACTGATAATTTCTAGAGTATGGTAATTCAAGTTGTGACTGATTTCATTTAGGCCCTTCCTTATTTCAAAGATTTCATTAAAAAAAATCCAGACTTTGCCAGAACCACTGACATACATAACCATAACAAATTACACAAGGGTATGGGGTTCAGTTTTGATTCAACCTTAAGCAGGCACATTGAGCTAAAAGTTCAGGTTTGGTATCTCAGGTAATGATGAAATCACATGAAGGAAAGTTTCAGCAAGCAAGGCTGTGCTCTAAAACAAAGTGAAGAAAGCCCAAACTTTGAAATACAGGGTGCCCAACATATGCTTTTATATGAAAAAACTAAAATTCCTAAGTCGCCCAAGAGCGAAAGTAAGGCGCCAGGGACCACCAGGCACTGCTAGACCACAGCCTTACCAGAAAGTCATAAAAAAAAATTAAGATGGCTCATGATATCACTCAATCTACAAGTTATTCAAATTGTTTCTCAAAATATAGGGGGAAAGTTTCCAAAGTACCTGTGGTACTGCATTAATAGGAGGTACGACAAGATAATTTGATTATACAGTATCAACTGAGTTGATAACGTAAATGACCACAATAAAGAGTGAGTCAGTCAGTCAGCTAGCCAGTGAGTCAGCCAGTTAGTCTTACATTCCTTTAACCTTTTAATCTTTCACTGAGCGTATCTTGTACACAACATTCAACTCACTCAATAAGGTTTACTTTGATATTTCTGCAGTAAAGCAAGAGACTACATAATATCATAAAATGCTTCCCTTGGGTGGCCACAAATTTATTCATCCATTCCTGGTCCCACTAACCTTTTGTGAAATGGCGTATAGCGTGAGAATGTAGAATTTGCTTCTGACTTGCACTCTTCAAATCAATGGATCAGGTATAAAAAGTATTTCGAAACACTAAAATTAAAAGAGATCATAACTGAAAATTAGTTTTCAGACCAAGATTTAGAAGCTGCATACAACATAAAAAATTTTTAATCATGCACTTTGATCCACTACAGTCAAGCCCAACAATATTTTGTGCAAGACATATCATACTTAAAAAAATTAAGTAATGTTTGACGCAGGTGTAAAATGACTTGTGACAAATTTCAAAGTTTCACCTTTTTTTACCATACAACCCAATAAAAGCATAGTAGTTAAACCTAATGGTAATCACTTGTGAAATCCTGCATATTTATATTGGTATATACTAAAACAGTGAATAGCCTTGAAAGGCACTCTCTGATTGGCTACTCAAACTCCAGATATCCTTTACCATTTGCCCCAAGCATAATGTAATCCTTACAGGAACAAATGAGTTTAAATTATCTTACTGTGCTGTATTATCTCACTTTTTTAAGTATATACTAAAATAACTACTCACCCCAGAGTTGGTGACTAGTGGTGGATATTCAACTCTCTGGTTTGCATCTCAGTATGTATCCATGCACGGGAGATGACAAAACGTGGAGCCCTACTCCATGGAGTACCCTATGGAGTACCTGAATGGAGAACCCCTAAAAATCATGTATTAGTCAAATAAAATACTATATGAACATGGTGAATCATTTAGATGTACATATCCTGATATATTTTGAGCTTGTCAGCTCTCCAATTGTCGCAGTTCGATGAAGTACACAAATTGACCGCCATCTTGAAATTAACATTAAACTGTTGACCACTTCCAATGGAAAGCTTTAATGTAACTAGCATCCATGAACGTTATCATTAATATAGGCCAACTACCATCTATTTTCATATGATCTTCAAGAGGCCAAAAGGACGGACATCCTTCATTCTGCATGGTTTTTTATGTCTTCCAAAATACCTGTTTATGTGTGGCGTCTGTAAGAAGTGTGGTGCTCCATCTAATAATACAAGGCCTCGTGGGTTTCTTAATTGTGTGAAGCGATGAGGATACAAGCTTACATTTGTAGGTTGAGACTTAAAAAAGGTAATCCATATCTTTACACTGAGCTTCTCCTCACCCATCTATTTGTAGTGTAATAAAATTGAGGTATGTAAACAAACCAAATAAAAATAGTGACGGGTCGGCAAATAAATCCAACTGGGGCCGTTGATTTGGAAAATGCAATAAGCTTATATATTTTACCTTGTGCAGAACTCGAAACACTGGGTTTTGTACAAATGGATTTTTTTGTCTTCTCATCAAAGGACTTCACACAGCGGTAAAACCAAAATGGAGGAACCAGTAAGACTGAGAGCCCTAGTCCACAATCCCCAAAAAAACTGGATTGTATTGAACTGAGATATTTGGAGAGCTTGTAAGCTTAAAATGTTAAATAGGATATGTATATTTAAATGATTAACCATGTTTATAAAATATTTTATTTGACCAATACATGACTTTTAGGGGTACTCCATTCAGGTACTCCATAGGGTACTCCATAGGGTACTCCATGGAGTAGGGCTCCGCGTTTTGTCATCTCCCATCCATACACCACTTAACAATTTCCGACATTTCCGTTAATTATTGTTAATAAGGAAATACAACAGGAGTGAACAGAGCTATTCACACGTGCTGGCTGGCCATTGTAGTTAGGAAGTGATTACCAAGTGCTAATTACCGGCAAGCAGCCAAGCCACAACAAAAATGGCGTATCCAGAGTTTAATTATCGACCATTTTCAGTATATTATTTGACGTCATTGTCAGTGTCAGGAGATAACAAAACGCAGAGCCCTACTCCGCGGAGCACCCTATACAGTACCTGACTGTAGTAGTATTGGTCAAATAAAATACCTTATAAAACATGGTAAACATTCGTGGACTGTATTGAACTGTGACATTCGGAGAGTGGCAAGCTCGAAATACATTACGATATGTACATCTAAACGATTCACCATGTTTATAAAATATTTAATCGACTAATCATGGTTTTTAGGAGTACTCCATTTAGTTACTCCATAGGGTACTCTATGGAGTAGGGCTCCCCGTTTTGGCATCTCCCGTCAATGTCCGTGAAAGCGAGTGATATTTTCCTACTCTTCGGTGAATAATTGTTAATTATGGCTACATGATACATTTGGAAAGCAAGAATAAAAGACGCTACATTTATAGGCTTTTGGCTTACTGAAGCTGCGGAATAAACCTTTTAAATCTGTTTTACGAGTTCACATATGTGTAACATAAATTCGTCAAAACAATTTTACAGCAGTGTACGTACAGTCAGCTACAGAGGAAGCTAGTGCTGGGCTAAATCGTTTCAGAAATTGCACAAATAAGAAGAAAACAAGACCTTGAACCATACTTTAAAATATACCCTAACCTTTGTTGTAGCCTTCAAAACACACTTAGCTTTTGTTAAACCATAAATCGTCACATTACCTTGATGTTGTAGTTCTTCATTTGATAGTTCCTTGAAAGTAACATAAAATGTGCATTCTGGGATATAGCATTGCACTATGGGATTGTTTAGTTCGCAGAATTCAAGATGGCGGACGCATTGATAATTTTCCGAGTTGATAATTTTCTTCTCGGCCGGTATGTTACTCCAGGAAATCAAAAGAAACATCTCCCTTTCAAAAACTGTCATGTAACGGTCTCTCCAGGTTTGCAGTCGCATGAACAGCTGTGAAGCCATTTACTGTAATTATGTTTTTGAGGAAAAGGATTAGGTTAAATTATATATGCTGATCCGAATATATAATCAACAACTATTCACCGAAGTGGAGGTGGTTAGTGGTGGATATTTACCGAGCCGCGAAGCGG